GCCTCACCTACAAGTGGTATTCCAAAGAGGCAAGGAAGAAGGGGTGAGGCAAGTTCTGATGGAGAGGTTTGACAACAAACCCAGAGTCTCCTCAAACAAGCGGGTGCTGGCACAAATATATCAGTACTCTATAGATAATGCAAATTAAGATTGTGATTTGTGTAATTCGTGTTTTGAAATAATTTTTGCATGGAACACGTGGTAGTCAGAATGAGGACCAGTGAGACATTGAAGTGTGGTTTTGAAGTATAAAAAGCACATTTTAAAGTTCAGTTTGTATTTTTCAGAGTATACTACATTGTACTGTATATATCACTTTTAGATATTTCATATTTCCACCGTGAGTTTTGACTTATTATTTACGTGATTACTTATTCTATACATTGTTAATTTTGAGGGCCTCACGGAAAACCGCTATGCCGAGCTGGGCTCCAATTCCCTCTTTAAATATTTTTTAATTAAAAACTCACGTTAGAGTGATGGGTGAAGAATTCCCATTTTGCTGTGTATAGAAACCAAACAAGAAAACATACAAAGAATAGGAATCAACAGTCTTTTCTTCAAGTTTCCTTGTCAAGTCTTTATTGCCCCAAAGCCAAAAATATCGAACCCCAGCTCACTGGAATTAAAACGCCAGCGCTACAAAACATTTTCAACTAAAGGTTTATAGCTTAAAAATCTCATCAAATCTTGACTTACCTAATCTTTGTTACTTTTTCACGCTTTCCAAGTCTGAATTTCTGTGTTGGCGATATCAAACACATAAAAACAACCGAAAACAAGCTTAGTCCCAGGTGCATACTTCGAACATGATAGGCACTATTTGTGTCTCGTCCCAGTCCCCACCGTGCAAACCTTCCATCCTGATTGATCCTGACTGCCATCTCAAAACCACGTCCACCTGTCACGGCAGTTTGTGAGGAGACAAGCACTGTGACACCTGATTTTTTTTCAAGTAGTTGCTATGAACAGTCTAATAAAGAAAATGTTTGAAGAAGAAAAAAGTTTGATAGGGGAACTTGAGTTTTTTGGAAAATAGTTCTGTACTTGGTGTATTTTGGCCAAGGCAGAGACTTGAAGGTAACCACGAAACTGTCCGAAAAAGTGCAAAATCCCCACAACCAGGTGATCAAAAACAGCTAAAAGAAGCAATGCTACTTATTTTAATAAAAGAAGCTTTAATTTCAAAATAACATTTCGTGTCTTTCAAGTTACCAAGGCTAAACTCTGATGAAGGTGATTCGAATTTGTAATGCACAACCAGTAAAAATGCCCCATTTTAAGAGCCTGCTGACGAGTAAACAAGCACGGTCCCCCCATTTTTTATTGAATTTTTTTAATGTTTATGTCATGAATGTTAATTAAACCAAGTTTAAAAAAAAAGTTTGAAAGTAGTACAATTTCGAGGGAATTACCTTAAGTCACTTTAAGTGGACTTAAATCGCCTAAAGTTGTAATGTTCTCTTTGCCAATTTTGCTCAAGTCGCCTTAAATTGCCCAAAGTCGCCCAAAGTTACGGCGAGTTAAGGCCCCAGAGTAGGCCTGAATTGGGAAACAAAATGTGCATGCTAACAAGTCGTCTTGCGTACTCTAACGTTATGTTCACTGGAGTTAGCCAGTCGAAAACATGCATTTCCCGATGTTTTCAGCAACGGTGAATTCGTGCAAGGCATGCGTTTTCTTGCGTTTACCGCCGCTTGGTTAATCGCTGTTCGACCCAATTAGTGCAAGTGACCCAACTGCCTGAGAGGACCCAATAAGCTCAGTTTCCTCAAATGATCCACACGGCTCCAATAACTAAATTGCCTCAAATGACCCAATCGTGGTCAATATTCTAAATATTAGACAAGACATCCATTGGAATTTTCATGGAGCAGGAAAAAACGATCACGATAGACGGACATCTTATATTCATGGCGTTGACCGTCAGCGTTTCTCGGATAAAACACTTAAAAAGAGCATTGTTCGGACGCGTAGCAGGAAAACGTTCCAGAAAACGAACTATTCATTAGCCTCTCCTTGGAGCAAGAAAACAATGGACGACCATCGCGTTTTCTTGTTGTTCACTTTCAGTAGTTCTGTGTAAAAACCCTTAGAAAATGCAGCGCTTGTGCGCTCACGTAAACTACAGAAAAACATATAGGAAAACAATGTAAGCTGTTGACGAGTGTTTCTACAGAGCAGGCAAACAATAGACGAACAACAATTTGTCATGGCTTGATTACGTTCGTTAGTGATTATGGGAGAAAATAGTTGGCAAATGCAGCGTTCGCGCATTCGGGAAAACTATAAATAAAGGTTCAGGAAAAAAAGCTATAAACTAGCGTTTTCGTGGAGCAGGAAAACAATGGACGACCATCGCGTTTTCTTGTCGTTCACTTTCAGTAGTTCTGTGTAAAAACCATTGGAAAATGCAGCGCTTGTGCGTTCACGTAAACTACAGAAAACATATAGGAAAGCAATGTAAGCTGTTGACGAGTGTTTCTACAGAGCAGGCAAACAATAGACGAACAACAATTTTTCATTGCTTGATTACGTTCGTTAGTGATTATGTGAAAAAATACTTGGCAAATGCAGCGTTCGCGCATTCGGGAAAACTATAAATAAAGGTTCAGGAAAAAAAGCTATAAACTAGCGTTTTCGTGGAGCAGGAAAACAATAAACAAACATTATGATTCCGTGGACGATTCTGCTGTAAAACATTTGGAAACTGAAATCCAGCATTCGTGCGTTCGGGAAAACCATAGTAAAACGTTCAGGAAAACAAGCTATACACCAGCGTTTTGGTGGAGTAGGAAGGCAATCACAAAGTAATATCATGTTTTCATGGCATTCACCGTTAGTTATTCTGTGGGAGACGCTTTGAAAATGCAGGGTTCGCGCTTACGGGAAAACTATAGAAAAACATTCAGGAAAACAAATAATTCATTGGTACTTTCCTGGCGCTGGATAACATGCAATGGAAATAGAGCTTTTCTAGAGTTTATTTGAGAATTTGCCCTCCGTTTCCAGATATCGGAAAACATTAGAATATTGTTGAATTTTTCAATCATTCACCATTTTGGACCTTGATACTCCCTTATTGTCTAGGCATAGATCTTTACAGCAGTAACCAGGTTTGATCTCAAGGGCGTGAAAAGGCCAGAAGTCCATTTTCATAATATTATGTAGAATACAGAGATAAAAAATGTCAACGAATCGACATGATTCGCACGGATCAACTCGACTCGTCATTAAGAAAGTCGATCTGTGTCACCGGGAGTCGATTACAAAAAAAAGACAACACATACCTAAGCCTTAACTTGGGGTATTCAGTGTTGACGAATCACAGAAGAAGACAATACACAAGTAAGCGTTAACTTGAGGTGTTCAATGTTGACGAATCGACATGATTTGCACGGATCGACTCGACTCGTCATGATCACTAAGAAAGTCGATCCGTTTCATCTTTTCAAAATTTGAGTTAAAGATATTGCTTGTTAAAGGGACTAATACAGATTCCATCACACGCTTGAGAGGAACAGAAAGTGTTTAAGGACAAATATACGAGCATATTTTCCCACTCAATGCAGGCTGTTGTTTATACATGCATTTTACAGAGCCTTAGAGGGTTCAAAGCTCAGCTATTGAAAAAGAAATTTGGATTTAACAGGTGTAGCAAACTAGATAGATTCTAACTACCTCCTCCCTCCTTCCGACTTTGACTTTTAAATATCTGCGTGGCGCACAAAAGCTAATGAAGCCGTCACAAAATCTCATCACTTGTACCTGAAAGGCGAGTGCAAACTTAGTCGCGGACCAAACTGTTATGAATATTATTTGGTCAGCGTTTTCCTCCAGGAAGACGGGTTCAAACCGAGTAGGACTGGTACTACTGCTTACGACTAGTGGCGAGAATGAAGATAGTAAGGGTGCTATAAACAATCACATGTCTTGCTAAACATTAAATGGGTCTCCAACAGTATCTGGTGTCAAAAAATTTTATCGCAAAATTTTAAGTTTTCCTTAGCCAGATAGAAAATACAGAACAAAAACAGATGAGATCAAACGTTCAACCTAAATCCAGGATATATCCTCCATCTGCAGACTTGAGACAACCTGATTGAGGAGCTAACACCTGAATTATTTCAATAGACAGCAACTACCAGTCATTTATCATAATTATATGAGCAATAACTTCCATTTAGCCGGAAGAAACTCTCCGATATTTGTCTGTTATTTGTTCCGAAAAATGAACAAAGAGCGAGGCTCGGGGAAAACTTCGAGCTTCAACAACTTATGTTCAATGACAAATATTACATGTTCAATCGTCTTACTTCATTATCAGCAACACTAGTAAAACTTTCAATAAATGACTGTCAGTATACAAACAAGCTCCAAGGATCACAACAAATATGTTGATGTGAACTATTACATTAGTAATTATCATCCCCGTATAGAACACGCTATTGATCAAGTCTCTAATTCCTGATGAACCTAGAGCACCTTCTTAGTATTTGAAACACAAGTTGACTCTGATTGGTTCACAAACTTAGGTAAAACCTATCATTCTTGGTATATCCTTTGCGAAGGTACTTAGGCAGGAATCAGATAGCAGAGCTACCACGTGGAGTCTTCAGCTACAACACCAAGTTGATTCAACTGTGAGTAAAAAACATGCATCGCTTATTCCAAGACACACATTTTTAAGTGACTTATACAGACCCAAGTACATATATAAAACATCTCAGCTCGCGTAGTTACAAAATTTTGGTTCCAAATTTTAATTGCCCAAGGGCTCATAAAACATGCAATGAGGATTAAAGCTTTAAAGCTAATCATTCTTATGAGCTTGAAAAATTGTTGGTTACCGGAAGCCTTA